GGGGTTGTGCTTTTTTTTATTATTTTTTTTGTACACATTTTTTTATTTTATTTTTTTTTTACATTTTTATTTTTTTTCTTTTTTATTTTTTTACATTTTCTATTTATTTTTTAATAATTTTTTATTTTTATTTTTTTACTGTTGGGGGGGCTGCGGCGAAATATCTGGGGTCTAAATAGACCCCTGACATTTCCCTTTTGAAATAGAAAAAGAAATTGAGGACATAAGTCCTCAATTTCTTTTTCTGCAGCCCCAGCACTCAATGAATGAGAAGCCTCAGTACAGAGGCTTCTCATTCATTCACAAACTAATGATAGTAAAAATATTTTACTATCATTAGTTTCTGAATGGGGAGGAGCCTCTGTAGTGAGTGCTAGTCCCCATTCATAAATTCTTGAATGAACAGGCTGAGATGTAGATCGCAGCCTGTTCATTCATAACTGGGGACACATAGTACTATGTGTCCCCAGTTATTTACAAACACCGGAGTGATCAGACGATCACTCCGGTGTTTGCTCTGCACAGAGGGATCGTTAAATATCATTGATATTTAACGATCCCCCGCTCGGCCACGCTACACAGAGCCGCTGTCTATTGATATTTAACGATCCCCCGCTCGGCCACGCTACACAGAGCCGCTGTCATCCAAAAACTGACAGGATGACAGCGGCTCAGAACAGAAGACGCGCAGCCATCCTGAAATGCGGCCAGCCGCCGCTCGTTCCCGGGACCCCCCCGACGGTGATTTTTGTACGGATCCCCGCTGCCACAGACCCTACAAGCAGTGGGGATCCATGGAGTCCCTCATCCCTCCCTGGGATGGCTCCAGGGAGGGATGAGAGACTCCAGATATGACAGCTATTAATTTAAAGGGGACAGTCTGCTGAACAGTTATACTATAAGCTGATGGTCGCTAAAGCGACCATCAGCTTATAATAGAACTGTAAATGCCAGGTCCGTATGGCATACTGACCTGGCCAGCTGGAAGCACTTTTGTAGGTCCGTATGCCATACGTCCTTGGCAGCGAAAGGGTTAAGGAAAATAAAGGCTAATAAAGCAGGGCATCTATGTTAAGCAGAGGACCCTGATATTTGTAGTAGGTGAGACATATTTGGTGTTGGAGATCCCCATTAAAGACAGCCTGTGTCCATACTATTAATACTAGGGCTGGTAATGATTACATTTTCGTGTTCGATTAATCAAAATTTTTTTTTAATCGATTAATTTCGATTAATTATAACGCACATACAGATCCAACTACATTGGCCTATACACATACAGCACAGCAATGAAGTAATAAAATGAACTAGGATCACATTAATCCAGCACGTTATTAATCTCACGTGTCCCACTCAATATGGCCGCCGCTTCCCCTCAAACAGTATGAGGGGAATTTATCAAAACTGAAGCAGAAGTATCTGGAGCAGTTGCCTATGACAAGCAATCAGCTTCTCGCTTCAGTTTGTTCAGTTAAGGTTTAAAAATAAAAGGTGGATGCTGATTGGTTGCCATAGGTAACTGCTCCAGATTCTGTCTGCTCCAGTTTTGATAAATTCCCCTCTATGTATGTTATGACTTTCAGGGCTAGTTCACACCAGTTCCAGTGCGTTCCGGCCCGATTCGTGCTGGAACGCACTGGATCGCATCCCGGCCGCCTCACCTGCATTCTGGGTCGGGAGGGGCGTGTTGTTGCATTAAAGTAAATGGCAACGCAGGTACGCCCCCCGGCCGCAGTGTGATCTCCGGAACACATGACAATGTTCTGGGCCCCCCAAACTTGCGGAACACCAGATCCCGGTCGCAAATGCGACTGATGCAGCCCTGGTAGTTTCGCCAGTGCCGGTATTTGCGTTTAGTATTGGGTCATTTTCACGAGTACGAGTGCTTGTGAAAATGCCCAGTATTGGCACAGGTACATCCTCCTAGGCGGTTTTCCGCGCTTTCGTACTCGCGGAAAACCGCTTAAGCAGGGAAATGCCATTATTTTCAATGTGTATGGTTCCCATCTGTGCGGTTTTCCGCGAGTACGAACGCTCGGGAAACCGCCCTACGCCCAAAGAAGTACATGTACTTCTTTGGGGCGTTTTGGTTGGGCGGTTCCATTGGGATACAGCCAAGTATCCCTCGGAAACGCACGTTTGCCGCGCGTTTTTTTTACCGCGAATCGCGGTAAAACAGTGCGGAAAACGCGCATATTCAATCTGTTAGCCGATGGAGCCACTTGGGGAAGGGGGAGGAGTCCGGTGACGTCGATGTCCGTGACGTCACCGGATCTCCGACCGAACTCTCGGAAGACCCGGAAGCCGGCTGAGAGGTGAGTACCGATCAAAAGAATTTTGATCGATCAAAAAAATTAACGATTAATCGTTAATTTCCGCAGCCCTAATTAATACTAGCACCGCTCTTTCCATATGATTATATGTCAAATTAACTTGTTTTGTGCATTTCCTCTGCATGCAAATTAAGCCAGCCTATGTATACCCACTCCTACAGACTGACACCCATTTACTAAGGCATTTACTGTAATTGATATTAAACAGGCCTGAGACATCCTGGTGGTGACATTAGCAGTCCCAGAGCTGTCTCTCAGATGATGCTCTGTAGTATCCCCCTATTATCGATTATTCATGTTTGAGGTTTACTAAACAGCCTCTCATTTATCTGATAACAGGGCAGGGGGGCTGATAGTAGGAGCTCACATACAGCAGAACACTGAGCAATGCCAGCAGAAACACCTTCTATGGTCTGCACACATTATAGTCTGCTCCTGCTCTGTTTACATTTTTGTGATGACTCTTATTTCTCTATACGGGTGCACAAATTAGCAATTTTTCTAGCCTGAAATCTAACAAATAGCTATGCAGGTTCATGCTGTCTGGCTACATAGCAGCAGCTGCAGGGTCTGGCACAGAGGGGAATGAGGCTTCCAGAAAGTGGTTAGACTCCTTTTGAAAGTTGAACAGGTCACAGTGGTGGGAAAAAAAATATATTTTTTAAAGGTGGGGAGATGGTTATTTTCTACTGCTACAAGGTTTTAGTTTGAAAGTAGGGTCTAGTAACAGGGTCTTCTTTTTTTAAAGCAAACCTGTGCTTTGTCCATAACAACAGCAAGTAAAGGTAGAGCATCATGCTTTCTCTTATTTCTCTTTCCTCGGCAGCACATCCTTACCCTTTCTTTACTCCACCACCTCTGTTCAGCTGCTGGCAGACAACATAATGCATGGAACCTCTGGGTATGAAGGGAGCATGTGACTCTTTCCATGAGACAGTGCTGGAGCAATTGCCAAGGACCAATGCTATTATATGGGGGTGAGTCCAGAGCCTTGTGTAAGCCGTGACTTGTAGCTTTCACAGGGTGGCCTCTGCTCCTGGCAGCTGAATGGAGTTATGGGGAGTGAAGGATAAGAAAGTATGCATTGTAAGGCATTTAAGTAAACGTGTTGGTGTGCATGGACAAAGCACAGGTTCACTTTAAAGAATTACTAAGCCAAAGAACAAAATTGTCATCTATTGCAGCTTATTAAATGTTTCAGGCCAAGAACACTTGCAAGCAGTGGAAATGCCTGTTGATGAACAAAGGCAGACCTGGGTGAAAACCATGGTTACCTCCATAGATACAGTAGGAGGAGTTGGCATAGCCACCCATGGATAAGGATGTGTGTTATTCACAAGAATGCAGTGTGAAAGTAGAGCGAAAATGAAAACTAATGCAGCCACCACATCTAAGGACTGGTCAGCTGCAATATATTAATGTTTTGCTTTTTGGTTTACGTTCAGTTTTAAATATAGAAAAACATTGCTCAATATTTTCCTGAGGGATTGTGTATTTCAGAACACAGTGTTGGAGTGTGTTTATATAGACATGCATTTACATGCCTTGTAGACATGATGAGAGGAAAATTAACAATGTGCAGGAAACATGCGCCACATCAACAAAGCATAAAACAAAATGTATCCCATCACACTCCTGACCAGAAAAAAAGCCCGAAAAAAGCAGGGTGGGTGTGGCAGTGACAGCAGATGCCTCCGCAAAACACATGTAAATTCAAATGGAAAGTCACTCGCACTCCAATGCAATTTAAAGTCAATCTCTTTATTGACTAAGGTAGTGTAGCATCTTACAGCGAACACATTAACAAAGCAGATACACCAGTGTCAGGTCTGTCTGTGCCACCAGCAGCAGTTAATATTTCAGAGTGAAACAGAACCTGGTGCGGGTTCTGTGCCTAATCAACAAAGGGATCAGGACAGTTTTCATTATAGAAAACTGACACAAATCTTTGCCACCCTCTCAACAGTAGAGCCTGCCCTGTTTTCTTAGTTTAGAGAAGTGGACCAAGCTTTATGATTGCACACTCTCTGCTTATCCCCCCCCCCATTTGTGTTTTTAGATCTGTAATGACTTGAATAGCAATCTGCAGGTCAGCATACCTAAAATGCAACAGGCAGGTCTTTTTTTTTCAATGCACTGCAGCACAATGCTTTGGGGTGAACATACTATTGAAAAACATTTCTAGTATCAAATCAATCAAACAAAACGCATGGACATGAGAAAATGTACACACGGCAAAATGCATAACAATGCATCTGTTGTAAACAACACTGCATCTTTGTGTCTTCCATTGATTCATACAAGAAATAAATAAAAGATTAGGGGTGGGAGTGAAGAGAAGGATAGCATAGCATGGAAAATGTGTCAACTGCTCACTCATGTCAGAAACGTGGTAAGACATTTGATAGATTTTATTCAGGTTTTTGGCTATATTCCTCCTAGGTAGATGGGAGTCTCATACGGTCCCCAGCCACAGCTTTGGCTTGCTTATGAAGACACTTACCAGTAGTGACTTTTTTAAATACTGGACATTCACTTTAGAACCATGGTCCCAATTAAATCTGACTAGGAGTATTACTTTACACATGTTAGTGTATGTATATGTGTATATATGTGTATATATGTGTGTGTGTTCAGTTTTCTGATGATTTTGTCCTTGTATTACAGATACACATGGGTGACAGGAAGAGAACCGTTAACATATTATGATATGAATCTTTCAGCACAAGATCATCAAACGTTCTTCACATGCGACACTGATCACATGCGTCCAGCAGATGCAAGTAAGAATTTTATGTGTAACACATTTCTGTTACACACCATTGTGTTCTTAACATCAAGATTATGCAAACAAATGTGAAAGCAGCTTCGTGTTAAGATGGCCTCTAACTCTTTTTGGTTAGGTAAATCCGATTTCACTTGCACATACTGTGTTCCTGAATAAACATTTTGGTGTTTGCACCTGAACATAACTGCAGAGTTTTATCTCTTATGCGTCTTTTTTAAAGTGTTCTTGCAACATCTAAATGTTTGCGACTGCACGTTTTGTGACATTTCACATAATATTTTATCTGCACAGTATTTGTGACAGTAAAAGCCCTCCAAACAGATGCATATCCTTGAAGTTCTCCTGAGCACTTCTTAAACTATCGCAAAGATGACTCACACCCTCAATCAGCTGAACGCCTCAGACTTGTCAGCTGTCATCCAAGAGGTTCCCTGAAAGCTTGTGACCGTTTAGAGACAGAAGAATATTGAGACAATTCTACCTATGGAAGGCATTTGGGAATGAATCATAAACTAAGATGATAAATGTGTCCCTATATGCACTCGAAATGAGAGATATGACCGTTTGAGAGACGACGCTGATGATGCGACAACTGATGAGTCGACCCATACCGATTGTTATGTGCACAGGAGAACTCCTCCTTTTTTCGTTCAATAATTTTTTTATTTAAAGAATATCCACAACATACAGATGATCAGCCAAGTTCAATGGTAAAGTAGGAGTATGGTTTCTTGTATCATTTAAAAATATATTAAAAGATCAGCAAACCGTAAATCAAGCTAATCCGCCAAATCCTCAAGAATGAGAACTTAACGCACATAAGGACATAAACGAAACCATAGGAGTACTCCTTCTTTTTTATTTATTTTTTTAAGATCAAGGGCTGATTTGATTAGAGTCCTTGAACTTTTTAGCACTGTTGTTGCCTGTCTATATTTAACATTTTGGCTCATTCACCTCTGCATTTTTTTTAATTTAAAGCAGAACTCTGGCCAAATATCTTAACCCTTTCAGTGGTGCTTTCCCTGCACTCCAAGGGTTAAGTTTGTTGTTTTACCTAGGTAGCTAAAATAACTGATATTCTCACCTGAACCACAAACCAGGCTTGCTGTTAGACCGGTCCCTGCAGCCTTCTTTCCCCTCCGCTCCAGCAGTCTAAGGTTCTGTGAGTCATCACATTCTATACAGTGTATAGAACGTGAAGACACCAAGGGACATTCCATTGCAGGAGTGGTGTAGGAGCAATCTGGGATTGCGGTTCGGGCAAGTATAACTGTTCTTTTAGCTCCCTATGCAAAACAAGCACTTAACCTTTGCAGTGAAGAGTTCTGCTTTAAAAAATAATTGGTTGCATTTAGGGATGCACCGATACTGGTATTTCGGTATCGAGTACCAATATATATTTTTTCTGTACTCGCCGATGCCGAGTACCACAAGTCCCATTCAAGAAGCCAGGCAGCGTGTAAAGACTCGCCACCCAGCTTCCCGATTAGCAGGGAAGCCGCCCCTATGCTTCTCGTCACTAGGTGACGAGAAAGATTGGAGCTCGCTTTCTGGCCAATCAGGAAGCCGTGCACTGTATAATGACGTGGCGCCCAGCTTCCTGATTGGCCAGGAAGCCGGCTCCATGCTCCCTCGTCATGAGTTGACGAGGGAGCATGAAGCCAGCTTCCCGACCAATCAGAAAGCCGGGCGCTGCGTCATTGCACGGCACCTGGTTTCCTGATTGACCTGCTTCTGACCAATCGGGAAGCAAGGCAGCGCGTCATTACACGCTGCCGGCTTCCTGATTGGCCGGGAAGCCAGCTCCATGCTCTCTCGTCACAAGCTTCCCAGGCAGCGTGTAATGACGCACTGCCCGGCTTCCTGATACAGGAAATATCAGGCTAGGCATCGGAGCATTTGGGCGCGTACGAGTACTCGCCCAAATACTCGGCATCGGCACCGATACTATATACTTCTCGGAGCCGGCCGGCACTTATCCTTGTCCCTGGAGCATCTCTCTGCTGCAGCGGTCTAAGGTATGAGTCATCACATCCAATAAAGTGTATAGGACATGAGGACGCTGAGGTAGCCCCAGTGCAAGGGTTCCCGAAAAGTTTTTCCTCCGAGGTCTGCTATAATAAATAGTATTTAAGTGTTTGGTTATGATTATAACTGCATTTCAAGAATTAACATTTTGTTATGTGGTAGTTTTATTTTTTCTTTTCTGCCTTTTGTCTTTTAAACAGTAATGCAAAAGGCATGGCGTGAAAGAAACCCACAAGCCAGAATTTCTGCTGCACATGAAGCACTAGAATTGAATGAGTGAGTAGCCTTGTCCAACTGGGTAGACCCACCTATCCAGAAGTGCTTAATAGATTCTGCATGGGACAAAGAAGATGTGAGCATAGGCAAAGGCTGAAAATAAAGAGAGTAATAACCCATAACAGTCAAAAATGTATTTATTTGTTTAACTCGCTGAAAGATGTTCTGATTGCTTGCTGTATCTTATTGTACATTGCCCTTTCCTTTACTAACTATGCCTTCTGGACCTATTAAATCGCATTGTGCAAATAGATTTAAGTTGGCCCTACGCCAGTAGAATTTTTTGTTTTAAAAAAAATATTCAGAAAGTTAGTTTGATTTTCTAATGGGTAATGCTGTCAAATTGAAGATAGTCTTGGACTGTATTGAAAAAAAAAATTAAAGGCGCAGAATGGAAAATGTTTCTTGATCTAATGACATTCTAACCGGGGATGTGGTTTATATTAGAGAAGCTCCATTCATTCCGAGTGTTAAAATAAAACGCATTTCTGACCCATATTCTCGAAGTCTCTGATGTCATAATCAGCATTCAATAATGCTATTTTGACAATTCTAAAATCTTCCATATGAAAATGTGTGGCCAGTTTTATGGCTTGTTCATACAATCTCCAGGCCAGATCTGGATAAGCTGCTGCAAACGCACGCTTTGGATGCGTTCCGGTGCGATTTCTTTTCTTCCTCAGTGGGTTTGCTTGGTTTTTGAAGTGCGTTCTGGTGTGTTTTCTTGTGTTTACTTGCATTTTTGGTGCATTCCAGATACAAATGCAGCATGCTGGACTTTTTTTTTTTTTTTTTTTACGTTGTGAAACTGAAAGCATTGGTGTGAACTAGCCCCATTCTTACCATTGAAATTGATGTGTATGCGTTTTTGGTCCAGATTAAAAAAAAAACAAAAAACCTTCTGGTCTGGAGATGGTGTGAACAAGCCCTGAGTCTGATAGCCCAAGGCGACCTAAATATGTCATTTGTACCCACCCCTCATTCCCCCAGCTACACAGTGAGCTCACATAATGCATGGCCTAGAGAGTACGGTCACATCAACTGTGAGGGCACACTGCACACGTGCCACTAGTGCTGAGAAGAGTGTACACAGCTGAGCAGAGG